CAACTCAGTTTGTTCCACAACCAAGTTCTGTTGATATGAGTGAACCAAGTTGTCTAGAGTCAGAAAATGTAAATTATGGAATTAATGATTTAGATCCTAGACCTCCTGAGATAGAGAATCCATATGGTCAGAATCTTGAGTCACCAAATCAAAAGCCACTGAGAAGGTCAAGCAGGACAATCAAAGTCCCAAATAAGTTAGACCTATGATCTTAAAGGTCAAAAGGACTTTGACATCATTGTTTTGTATTTTAATTATGTTGTGGCATATTGTGCATTGTTTGTAAGGATGTAATCTACCATAATGTTCATGTTACAATATATTTGGTGATTTTAGGATACTGTCAATTGTTCTATTGAGAGATGTGTTGTGTTTACTAAGGGTAAAGGGATGTAATATAGTGAGACGTGTGAAGTCAAGGGAACTCACTCTTCTTGTATTAGTATTATATTTATACTGTTATCTTGAGTGATGTCCCTTATATGTTTGTCTCTCGTCACTTCCGCCCTCTCTCGTTCCATCATGTAGTTAAGGCCAATAAACGTTTTATATACAATCACATGCTTCTATCGTCAATCTATTACAGTGTGATAGGATTCTCACACTATTATTTGCCGTACACACACTCACTCAAACACACGCACACTATAATTAAACCTAGAGTTTCGTTGATAGCCTAGTCCGAAAACAGTCAGCGAGATCATTATTCACCTATGCATAAATGAGCACGAAGTGGGCTCATGCAAATTTCCATTCCGCACCAGTAGCACCTTTACTGCTGGTTTTAACCAAAAATATTTCTTAAAATATCCCATTAAATATTTTCAACAGACTTTCGGTTTTTCCATACGTATTGCAGATTGCATAGTAAACAACTCTACTGACATAGATGGAGGTCGTGTCTAAATATAGACCACTAGCAATACTCTGGTTTCAGCGGTTCTTATATTGGGCACAAAGAGCAAGACATTTAAATCATTTGATTATAACACTTTATTTCTTTCTTAATCAGCCGAGCGTTTAGTTTTATGTTGTCATACTCGTAGCCTTTGCATTGTTCAAACAGTGCTACAAATAAATTGTAAATGCGTGAATAGTTCAAAGAGTCGTATCTCTTCCTTTGGGTTAGCTCACATCACATTTGTTGCGGGAGTCATTTTTTTGTCTTGTAGGTCATCACTCAGTTACTGTGGGGGCATATTTTGATCTTGTAGGCACCACACACTGTGGGGGCATATTTTGATCTTGTAGGTCATCACACAATTACTGTGGGGGCATATTTTGATCTTGTAGGTCATCACATAATTACTGTGGGGGCATATTTTGATCTTGTAGGTCATCATACACTATGGGGTATATTTTGATCTTGTAGGTCATCACATAATTACTGTGGTGGCATATTTTGATCTTGTAGGTCATCACACAATTACTGTGGGGGCATATTTTGATCTTGTAGGTCATCATACACTATGGGGTATATTTTGATCTTGTAGGTCATCACATAATTACTGTGGGGGCATATTTTGATCTTGTAGGTCACCACACAATTACTGTGGGGGGGCATATTTTGATCTTGTAGGTCATCACACACTGTGGGGGCATATTTTGATCTTGTAGGTCATCACACAATTACTGTGGGGGCATATTTTGATCTTGTAGGTCATCATACACTATGGGGTATATTTTGATCTTGTAGGTCATCACATAATTACTGTGGGGGCATATTTTGATCTTGTCGGTCATCACTTAATTACTGTGGGGGCATATTTTGATCTTGTAGGTCATTACACAATTACTGTGGGGCATATTTTGATCTTGTAGGTCATTACACAATTACTGTGGGGCATATTTTGATCTTGTAGGTCATCACACAATTACTGTAAGGCATATTTTGATCTTGTAGGTCATCACACACTATGGGGGCATATTTTGATCTTGTAGGTCATCACACAATTACTGTGGGGCATATTTTGATCTTGTAGGTCATCACACAATTATTGTGGGGGCATATTTTGATCTTGTAGGTCATCACATAATTACTGTGGGGGCATATTTTGATCTTGTAGGCACCACACACTGTGGGGGCATATTTTGATCTTGTAGGTCATCACACAATTACTGTGGGGGCATATTTTGATCTTGTAGGTCATCACACACTGTGGGGGCATATTTTGATCTTGTAGGTCATCACATAATTACTGTGGGGGCATATTTTGATCTTGTAGATCATCACACAATTACTGTGGGGGCATTTTTTGTTCTTGTGGGCCATCACACATTTATTGTGGGGGCATATTTTGATCTTGTAGGTCATCACACAATTACTGTGGGGGCATATTTTGATCTTGTAGGTCATCACACAATTACTGTGGGGGCATATTTTGATCTTGTAGGTCATCACATAATTACTGTGGGGGCATATTTTGATCTTGTAGGCACCACACACTGTGGGGGCATATTTTGATCTTGTAGGTCATCACACAATTACTGTGGGGGCATATTTTGATCTTGTAGGTCATCACACACTGTGGGGGCATATTTTGATCTTGTAGGTCATCACATAATTACTTTGGGGGCATATTTTGATCTTGTAGATCATCACACAATTACTGTGGGGGCATTTTTTGTTCTTGTGGGTCATCACACATTTATTGTGGGGGCATATTTTGATCTTGTAGGTCATCACATAATTACTGTGGGGGCATATTTTGATCTTGTAGGCACCACACACTGTGGGGGCATATTTTGATCTTGTAGGTCATCACATAATTACTGTGGGGGCATATTTTGATCTTGTAGCACCACACACTGTGGGGGCATATTTTGATATAGTAGGTCATCACACATTTATTGTGGGGGCATATTTTGATCTCGTAGGTCATCACACACTGTGGGGGCATATTTTGATCTTGTAGGTCATCACATAATTACTGTGAGGGCATATTTTGATCTTGTAGATCATCACACAATTACTGTGGGGGCATTTTTTGTTCTTGTGGGTCATCACACATTTATTGTGGGGGCATATTTTGATCATGAAGGTCATCACACAATTACTGTGGGGGCATATTTTGATCTTGTAGGTCATCACACAATTACTGTGGGGCATATTTTGATCTGGTAGGTCATTATACACTATGGGGTATATTTTGATCTTGTAGGTCATTACACAATTACTGTGGGGCATATTTTGATCTTGTAGGTCATTACACAATTACCGTGGGGCATATTTTGATCTTGTAGGTCATCACACACTATGGGGGCATATTTTGATCTTGTAGGTCATCACACAATTACTGTGGGGCATATTTTGATCTTGTAGGTCATCACATAATTACTGTGGGGGCATATTTTGATCTTGTAGGTCATCACATAATTACTGTGGGGGCATATTTTGATCTTATAGGTCATCATACACTATGGGGTATATTTCGATCTTGTAGGTCATCACATAATTACTGTGGGGGCATATGTTGATCTTGTAGGTCATCACTCAATTACTGTGGGGGCATATTTTGATCTTGTAGGTCATCACATAATTACTGTGGGGGCATATTTTGATCTTGTAGGTCATCATACACTATGGGGTATATTTTGATCTTGTAGGTCATCACATAATTACTGTGGGGGCATATTTTGATCTTGTAGGTCATCACACAATTACTGTGGGGGCATATTTTGATCTTGTAGGTCATCACATAATTACTGTGGCGGCATATTTTGATCTAGTAGGTCATCATACACTATGGGGTATATTTTGATCTTGTAGGTCATCACATAATTACTGTGGGGGCATATTTTGAGATTGTAGGTCACCACACAATTACTGTGGGGGCATATTTTGATCTTGTAGGTCATCACATAATTACTGTGGCGGCATATTTTGATCTAGTAGGTCATCATACACTATGGGGTATATTTTGATCTTGTAGGTCATCACATAATTACTGTGGGGGCATATTTTGAGATTGTAGGTCACCACACAATTACTGTGGGGGCATATTTTGATCTTGTAGGTCATCACACTCTGTGGGGGCATATTTTGATCTTGTAGGTCATCACACAATTACTGTGGGGGCATATTTTGATCTTGTAGGTCATCACATAATTACTGTGGGGGCATATTTTGATCTTGTAGGTCATCACTTAATTGCTGTGGGGGCATATTTTGATCTTGTAGGTCATTACACAATTACTGTGGGGCATATTTTGATCTTGTAGGTCATCACACAATTACTGTGGGGCTTATTTTGATCTTGTAGGTCATCACACAATTACTGTGGGGCACATTTTGATCTTGTAGGTCATCACACACAGTGGGAGCATATTTTGATCTTGGTGAGTACGCCATATTTACTGTGGGGAACATCAAAAGATCAAAAGTAACTTACTAGCACCCCACAGCAACACATTCTACGTCAAACCTCACAATCTTTTATACATGTCATACTTACATTCAATATCTCTTGCACCTACATTATTTAATTTGCACCTAACTATTCTTGAAAATATTATTTAAACGGTAAGATATACATTGGTGTATGCCAATAACGGTAAGATATACATTGGTGTATGCCAATAACGGCAAGATATACATTGGTGTATGCCAATAACGGCAAGATATACATTGGTGTATGCCAATAACGGTAAGATATACATTGGTGTATGCCAATAACGGCAAGATATACATTTGTGTATGCCAATAAAGGTAAGATATACATTGGTGTATGCCAATAACGGCAAGATATACATTGGTGTATGCCAATAACGGCAAGATATACATTGGTGTATGCCAATAACGGTAAGATATACATTGGTGTATGCCAATAACGGTAAGATATACATTGGTGTATGCCAATAACGGTAAGATATACATTGGTGTATGCCAATAACGGTAAGATATACATTGGTGTATGCCAATAACGGCAAGATATACATTGGTGTATGCCAATAACGGTAAGATATACATTGGTGTATGCCAATAACGTTAAAGAAAACAATCATGTTTAACATTTTTATTTCTACTAGCCTCACAACAACAGCGTGGCTCTCTTTAAACATATGTTACTAGCTTATGAAAAGAAGTAAAAATTCAAGATAATGGTCAGTGCAACATTTGGTGCAGAGCCATAAAAAATGGTACTTTTATAATGATTTCAAAATGTGTATTGTTTATGGTGTAGGAATAAGGCAGACAACTGCGCAAGTTGTTGCTGCTCCAGCACATATCAGTCCTCCAGAAGCCAAGAGACAGGCACAGAGAGCTGGGGGAATAAATGCTACTGGGGCACAGGCTCCCCCTGCTGCAATAAGTCCTGTACACCATTGGGCCGCCCAGGTTACACAAGGTCCACATGCGATGGCAGAGCCTTGGGCTTTAGGTATCTGTGTCCAGATCAATAGTAAGATGACCACACCCGCCATGACCTTTGCCTTGGAGTTTGGATCTCTGGCAGTCTTCTCAGATTGTTTTCTTACAAACTCCATCCACCGTTCTTTTAATGTGGCCATCTTGGTTATCTGTAAATAATAGGTTACCAACACTTTGTCGTTATTTAATATTATTTAGAAGGTGCTGATATTAAGGTGCATTGAAAATCTCTTTAGTATAAAAGTGACTCGCCTTGTCAACTTCATTATTGTTATTGTGTTATTAAACTTTAGAGTTTTTAAATTATTTCTATCAGGCGTTTTAAGAGTTATTAGGCCTGTCGGACCGGTATATTGAGTTCAGTACGGTCAGTTCTATATAATAGGCTACGGTTATACCGTGCAGACAATAACTTATGTCACTAAGGTATGACTGCTATTTACTTACCTCAACTTGAAGGCTGCAACCTGCAAACGATAGTTTATTAAAGTTCTAACAAGAAATAGTTTAAAAACCGACACTACGTTGTGCTTATATAGTCTATGCCTACATCATTTATTACGTGGGCAGTCCACGTGAATAAAAATAAGCTTAGGCTACTTTTAAACGAATAATATTATTTATCGAATCCTGGTTTTCCCGAAAAAGCTCGTAATGTTTCTGGGAAAATCCGCTTGGTTGTTGTTTTGCTGATTATTTGTGAAAAACATTTACAGTCTATCAGTATCACTATCATCATCTTTTCGCATTCGTTCCCAAGACAAATGGGGCAGGTGAAGTAGAGTTCATCTGTTCCAGTGATCTCGGCATATGAAGGGATAGTGTAGTCAGCACTATGCCCAGGCGACTTCGTAGGGGAACTAACCTTGTCTCTCTTCACTAGGGGAACTAACCTTGTCTCTCTTCACTAGGGGAACTAACCTTGTCTCTCTTCACTAGGGGAACTAACCTTGTCTCTCTTCACTAGGGGAACTAACCTTGTCTCTCTTCACTAGGGAACTAACTTTGTCTCTCTTCACTAGGGGAACTAACCTTGTCTCTCTTCACTAGGGAACTAACCTTGTCTCTCTTCACTAGGGGAACTAACCTTGTCTCTCTTCACTAGGGGAACTAACCTTGTCTCTCTTCACTAGGGGAACTAACCTTGTCTCTCTTCACTAGGGGAACTAACCTTGTCTCTCTTCACTAGGGGAACTAACCTTGTCTCTCTTCACTAGGGGAACTAACCTTGCCTCTCTTCACTAGGAGAACTAACCTTGTCTCTCTTCACTAGGGAACTAATCTTGTCTCTCTTCACTAGGGGAACTAACCTTGTCTCTCTTCACTAGGGGAACTAACCTTGTCTCTATTCACTAGGTGAACTAACCTTGTCTCTCTTCACTAGGGGAACTAACCTTGTCTCTATTCACTAGGGAACTAACCTTGTCTCTCTTCACTAGGGAACTAACCTTGTCTCTCTTCACTAGGGGAACTAACCTTGTCTCTCTAGGGGAACTTACCATGTTTCTCTTCACTAGGGAACTAACCTTGTCTCTCTTCACTAGGGGAACTAACCTTGTCTCTCTTCACTAGGGAACTAACCTTGTCTCTCTTCACTAGGGGAACTAACCTTGTCTCTCTTCACTAGGGGAACTAACCTTGTCTCTCTTCACTAGGGGAACTAACCTTGTCTCTCTTCACTAGGGGAACTAACCTTGTCTCTCTTCACTAGGGGAACTAACCTTGTCTCTCTTCACTAGGGGAACTAACCTTGTCTCTCTTCACTAGGAGAACTAACCTTGTCTCTCTTCACTAGGGAACTTATCTTGTCTCTCTTCACTAGGGGAACTAACCTTGTCTCTCTTCACTAGGGGAACTAACCTTGTCTCTATTCACTAGGTGAACTAACCTTGTCTCTCTTGACTAGGGGAACTAACCTTGTCTCTCTTCACTAGGGGAACTAACCTTGTCTCTCTTCACTAGGGAACTAACCTTGTCTCTATTCACTAGGGGAACTAACCTTGTCTCTATTCACTAGGGGAACTAACCTTGTCTTTCTTCGCTAGGGAACTAACCTTGTCTTTCTTCACTAGGGAACTAACCTTGTCTCTCTTCACTAGGGAACTAACCTTGTCTCTCTTCACTAGGGGAACTAACCTTGTCTCTCTTCACTAGGGAACTAACCTTGTCTCTATTCACTAGGGGAACTAACCTTGTCTCTCTTCACTAGGGGAACTAACCTTGTCTCTCTTCACTAGGGGAACTAACCTTGTCTCTCTTCACTAGGGAACTAACTTTGTCTCTCTTCACTAGGGGAACTAACCTTGTCTCTCTTCACTAGGGAACTAACCTTGTCTTTCTTCACTAGGGAACTAACCTTGTCTTTCTTCACTAGGGAACTAACCTTGTCTCTATTCACTAGGGGAACTAACCTTGTCTCTCTTCACTAGGGAACTAACCTTGTCTTTCTTCACTAGGGAACTAACCTTGTCTTTATTCACTAGGGGAACTAACCTTGTCTCTCTTCACTAGGGGAACTAATCTTGTCTCTCTTCACTAGGGGAACTAACCTTGTCTTTCTTCACTAGGGAACTAACCTTGTCTTTCTTCACTAGGGAACTAACCTTGTCTTTCTTCACTAGGGAACTAACCTTGTCTCTCTTCACTAGGGGAACTAACCTTGTCTCTCTTCACTAGGGAACTAACCTTGTCTCTCTTCACTAGGGGAACTAACCTTGTCTCTCTTCACTAGGGAACTAACCTTGTCTCTCTTCACTAGGGGAACTAACCTTGTCTCTCTTCACTAGGGGAACTAACCTTGTCTCTCTTCACTAGGGGAACTAACCTTGTCTCTCTTCACTAGGGGAACTAACCTTGTCTTTCTTCACTAGGGAACTAACCTTGTCTCTCTTCACTAGGGGAACTAACCTTGTCTCTCTTCACTAGGGAACTAACCTTGTCTCTCTTCACTAGGGGAACTAACCTTGTCTCTCTTCACTAGGGGAACTAACCTTGTCTCTCTTCACTAGGGGAACTAACCTTGTCTCTCTTCACTAGGGGAACTAACCTTGTCTCTCTTCACTAGGGGAACTAACCTTGTCTCTCTAGGGGAACTAACCTTGTCTCTCTAGGGGAACTAACCTTGTCTCTCTAGGGGAACTAACCTTGTCTCTCTAGGGGAACTAACCTTGTCTCTCTAGGGGAACTAACCTTGTCTCTCTTCACTAGGGGAACTAACCTTGTCTCTCTAGGGGAACTAACCTTGTCTGTCTAGGGGAACTAACCTTGTCTCTCTTCACTGAAGTGTCCAACCACAGGTTGGTAGGTGATTGTAGGAAAAAAAGTCACAGGAAAAAAAAACAGAAAAAAAGTCACAGGAAAAAAAGTCACAGGAAAAAAAGTCACAGGAAAAAAAGTCACAGGAAAAAAAACAGAAAAAAAGTCACAGGAAAAAAAGTCACAGGAAAAAAAGTCACAGGAAAAAAAGTCACAAATATATATTTGCTTGTGATTTGGTAATACTTTTATGTATTAAATATTTAGAGAGTGCAAATTAACTTAGGATTAATTAAATTTAATGTAATGTGTGTAGGCTGTATACGCATAGTAATTTTTATAATTCATCTAAAAATATTTAGTAAGAAGTATGTAGATTGTAATTATTTTAAACTTAAGATTAGTAGCATTTAATAGAATGCTCCAATGTCCACGGTTTTCATGGTGTTTTTTTTAAATACCAATATTAAATTACCGTGAAATGGTAAGTTCATCTGACTTGCTGTCCTCAACTCATGGCAACAATAGTTACGCTCAGTTCAACCACCTTTACCGCCCACATTTATCACGCTCATTTCATAACAAACCTTAGGATCAAAACAGAAAGCCGACAAGGTTCAAAGGCTTTCATTGACGCATAACGTCAACAACACAACATATGTTCGGACAATGCCTACGGAGGTGAGGCCGACCAGAGAACAGCCTACGACAAAATGTGCCTAAATTTCTTTTATAAACTTTTCTACCGCGTATTCAACTAAATACGTAGCAAAGGTTGAGATTGTTGTGTAAATTATCTTAGAGTATTTTTTACTTACAATTGTTATAAACCATAATGCTTTTAACGTCTATAAATAATTTATGCTATCAAAAATACAACCCACAACAATAAACATACAAAATTTTACAATTCCTAACAAATAAATCAAAATATTTCTAAAAAGATTTTTGTGACTTTTTTTCTGTGACTTTTTTTCTGTGACTTTTTTTCCTAGCAAAAACTGTGACTTTTTTCTGTGTTTTTTTTTCCTGTGACTTTTTTCCGTTTACCTGGTAGGTTAGAGATTGTAAGTGTCCAACCACAGGTTGGTTACCAACCCGTGGTTGGACACTTACAATCTCTAACATAAGTGGTTGGACACTTACAATCCCCAACCTACGAATGTTTTTGCATGTTGATGTCCACGTGCCGAATTTCAGAGAAATTGATCTGTTAGAAGTGCCCGTAAAGCATGGGTCGCTATACTATGACGTATTGGATACTTTTACTAATATTTAGGAAGCGACCCACGCTTTTCTTTACAGTTAAAATGTTCAATATTTTCAAGCATTTCTCTTTTAGACATAGACCTGCTTCGTGTACTTTTTCTCTTGTCATTTTCTTAATCTCTTCTCCGCGGGAACTTCATATTGATCTGATTTATGATTTATGTAGTGCGTGACCAATTGACTGCTCCACTCAGCGGCTACAATATTTGATCATTTCCACCTTCAAACTTTCTATAACTGATATATTCCACCAAGAAACATTATTTAAAATGCTGTTACTTGTCTCTTTAATTTCACATCCTAAGTCGTACACTTTCATTTGAGGTTGATTTGTTTCTTTCTCCTTTACATTTGGCAGTAGTGGTTGCTGTTAGTAGTAGCTATTTCTATTTCAGCTATATGACTAGAAGCTAATTTATTTTTGGTTCGGGAAATTCCGTTAAGCTTGGGTTGTTTTCTTGGCTATAAATAGCTTCTTCGTTGATGCTGTGTGGAGTTTATTACTGCCATGTTTAGACATGTAAACAGTTTGGCTTGCCACAACTGCCCGAGGGAATAACACATCAGTAACAACACGGTGGCGTGTGTAGGTACACGCTACTCGCGTGTCAACGTGTGCAGTATTTCTTCCAGACTTTTTTCTCCGGGGGGAAGGGGGCGATCTACATTTTCCGGGGGGGGGGGGGGGACACTAGTAAAAGTATTTGTTTACTATATTAATTACATATCGTTCGGGGGGGGGGGGGTTGGCGGTAGATTTTCTGCGGGGGAGCAGAGAGTCCCCCCCCCCAAGAGATGCCTGGAAGAAACTCTGAACGTGTGCTGTCAACTCGAGGAAAAGTTGTGTACACAGACATCTGGCCCTGTGGAAACGACACGTGTCGGTGATAACAAATTCTTAGAAACGATGTGTTGGTCGGGAAATTAACAGGCTCTTTACATTTCTCACAATCATACAAAGTAATGTGATTTTCTCGTAAACCGCACAGCTGTTTTCTTAGTAGAATGCTTAGGGTTTATACACCAGACACCTTCCATACATATTTCAGAACTTCACTACAGAGAGAAATAGCTTGGTTAGATC